CATCGATTATCTTTTTACTGTATCTCATTTTCTGTTCAAGTGTTTCAATTTGTTAAAGGGTTTGATTTATCTTGCAATAAAAAATGCATATATTACACATATAAGACTGTTCCAGTGTGATCTATGACGATGGTATTACAAAACAATTGTTGCTTGCTGTGATGGGGTCCATGAGTTTTGTACACCCTCGGGGGCAAATGGCACCCTCAGCTTTGCCTCTAGTGCCATTTGCCCCCTTGGGTGTACAAAATGCCATGGACCCCTTTACCGTAGGCAACAATTGTTAAATGTACACCCTAGTGAATATACATGTACTTAGTGTGGACATTCCTTTGTTTTTGTGCAGTTAAGAAAACTTGGTGAAAATACTAATATTTCTTGAAAGAACTAGGAACACGATTTTCAGCTGGATTTTGTAAACTGTTTCCTTGACTGTTCCTCTTCCTTTTACAACAGATGGCCCTAACCCCAATTCCTCTAAACTTCTTTTTCAGAGAATGGGAAAAGTCCTTTGGACATGGGTAAGTCCACAGACTGTCCTCCCTTCCTGCACCGTGTGGACATCTTTTGTTCACAAATCCACACTAGGTGTGTAAGGTTAGCACAAGGGGGTGTACATACACATGTTTTTGTTCAAGTAGCACATACATGTTTTGGCGTGATTATCCATATTCACACAAGCGTTTGATTGCATTATGGTATCAGTCAGTTCTGTATCAAATTTTCAACTTAACTTCCACAAAATATTCCACCATAGCCACGAATTGGAAATAAAAAGTTATTGGCTGAGGGCAGGATTATCAGCAAATTGTGCAGTAACACAAAGATCGAGCGATCACGCATATCAATCAGTAGCACTCATGAAATTCATACATGAAGTGACAGTAACATTACACTTAAAATCTTCAATGCACTTTCGTTTCTGTTGCTCTGTCCTCATATTCAAAGTTGTGCATGTTTGAAGCATTTTAGTTCTGTTCAATCAGCTGTTCTGTTCAGCTGCAGCAAGTGTACAGATAAGTACTAGTTAGAAATTGTATTACAAAAATGCTTTAGTTGATGCAAGGTAAAGAGTTGAGAAAAGTAATTATAGGTTCAGTAATTATGGATTACTTCAGAAATTGACAAATGTAGTTCACTCTGCTACATAGTTCTTACCATGCAATGAATGAATTTTGTTGCAGTGGTGGTTAGCTTCATTTGGACTTTGAAATGAAATCAGTAAATTCGACTAACAAAATATGCCTGTTAAAAATTCAGTTATTCAGATGTTGACATATTTGGTTTCTACCAACACTACTTGATTTGCAAAGATTCCGGGTGGTGTCTGGTAACAAAATCCCTTGGGAGATGGACATAAACTAGGTTTAAAAGAAAACCAAGTTAGAACACTTTCATGAAGTCAGTTACTCAGAACAAAATGTTAGATGTTTTCAAACAGTTTACCATCTACTGTGAATTTCATCCTTTGATGGACAATGAAAGTGAGTTGATCTCCAGTTCTAGTTGTGTCTTGGGAATTCATGGATCCACTCATTTCACATACATTATTTCATGGACCCAATGCCATAACACTGCTGAATGGCTAATTTCTGAGCAAATATGACTATTTTATAGTTGCCAAGAAGTAGTAAGCTTAAAGCTAAAGCATGCTTAAATCCACAGGAACAGTTGCTGAAATCAGTGACAGAAGAATAGTCACATCCATGATGCATCACAACCATTTGCATATGTACATATACAGTGTACATGTACATGTATCTATCCTACATGCTTAAGGAGCAGTATTATTTTCTGCTTTACTGAGTACAATATTTGACCCAGTAAATTGGGCCTTTAATGCAAGCCTAAATTAGTGTTTAGTGTACATGTACCATGACAGCCCTAATAAAATTGGATGAAGTACAAGTAGATGTATTATATTAGCTTTGTCTTCATGAGTGTGGTGTACATGTACATGCTTAAGTTTTCTGGATATGTTGATGTGCACACTTTTACATGTGCATGTACATGTGTGTGTCAGCAGCAGCTGTCAGCTGTATGTAAGTAATGAACTATTTCCCGTGTTTTACACTTTCATGTAGGCCCAGAAAGTATCCAAGTGGACGCATCTTTAAGGACTCCTAGCTATTCAACATTTTGGGTAGCTTTTACAAATGTAACTTTTTCAAGAAATAAATGTGTAAATGAAAGCTTTAAAAATTAATCCTTGTATGTCTGAAGTTATCGTTCAGTTTTCTTTTCATTGAAGGAACATGCAGCTCATAAAAGCTTGCAATGAATAATTTCTTGGATGTACCTTTTGTTCAGCTTTCCACTCTTAAATGTATAAAACATGTTGATGTCCCTTTTAGTGAAGGTTCATCCATTTTGTTGTCCTTTTCACAAGCGTACATATACTCTCTTCTCTGACCCCTCTGTCTCTCTAAAAGTGTACACAAAAAGGATGGTGGCTGAATAAACCCTTTTCAAGTGTACAGGGCTGTAAGCCCCTCTTCTTTGCTTGTGTACAAATTTGCTACTTTTCATTCAGTACTTGGTGGCAAGAGTTACTGGTATTTGTCAGAGTCTTCATTTTCTTTAAATAAAATGGTTATTTTAGTTTTGATACATTCAGGCAACTAATGGGGCTTTTATACACACATTTCCAAGTATATAAGTTTGAGAACTACATGCACATGTACATTCAAATCATTTTGGCCATGTATGATCTCATTGTTCACTTACTAAGATGTATACATGGACCACCTATTTCCATTTTCCAACAGGATAAAGTATTTATTGGCCAACTGCAATCAACACTGTTGCCAGAGAGACATGATACACTTGGCTCTGCATGCACTGTTCACTGCAATTTGACTTGTTACACTTAATGAGTGATGCACTCCAGTAACCCAGAGTAGACACCGGCCATTGTAACATCAAGCTCCATTATTCCAAAATCGGACCAATGTTTGATAGATGTACTATTTAAACTCATTGGATTTCCTGTGCAATACAGCTCATGCTTCTTTGGATTCAACATTCTTCTCACAAGGGTAAAATATAGCTGTCAAATATGGTGGTCACTCGTTACACTACTTTTCCTGAGCAGGAAACAGTTAACGGTCAACAATTTTACTAACTACAGTACCCCTCCCAAAACTAAAATTCTTGCACTGAAATTGCAGTGCCTGCCATAAACCTTAACATCAGAAATGAACTGGAAGTCAAGTCAGATGCGACATATGAAGGCTCAAAAAGTCCCACAAACTGGCTCATAATTCTGCATCCATAGATCAGTATCCTAGCCAAGACCTGCAGCCATCAAGCCTTGCGTGACAGTTCTGATGTAAATATGTAAGCTATATTTAGGCTGTTGTTTTTCCAACAGGCCAATTAAGTAGCAGTGTATACACTGGCCTGTATTACAGGCTTTCTTCATGGTAGCTGGGGTAGTGATACAGCTCACCGAAACCAATAAAGTTCAATGCGAAGGGTTTATTGTGACACTCTAGATCTGAAGGGATCCACTCAGATGGAAAAACAACCTCTCATTTTACAGTTTGAAAGAATCATGTGTAGGATTGAGAGTACAGGAGCTGAAATAGCCTGTGTAACAGCTCATTCATGCTTTGTACCTGCCTGGATGCTTCAAAATTCACTGGAAAGTTTGGGAGGGTTTTAAAGATTGAAGAAGGTAGGGTCCAGATTTCATAATTTTTCATGCTTGTTGAAAGTTGAACTTAAGTACCAATAAAGTGTCTTTGGTTTCCTGCTCAGAATTCAGAAGTTTAGCAAATAGCCCTGGGGAATTACAAGTATTTGAAGAGGTAAAAAGGCAGTACTTTTCCATCATACAAAGTACATTGTATCAATTTGATAGCCTCCTTGAAAGTTATCTGTGTCTTATTCATTTGCAAATCTGATACCCAGTACAGCAAATGGTGATGACCTACATGCATATATACATGTCTGCTTCCCATCCTCAATAATTGTTTGCACACTTGGGAATATAGGTTTTTTAGTCAGGTTTTTTTCTTGTAACAGTGTGGATAGAGATGTAAGCTTAAGAAAATAATTCCAGAAAGTAGTTTAGCATATTCAAGGCCCTGATTGTGAGGTGCTAGTACGTTTGCTAGATCAAGACTGGGACAAAGATGTGGGGGCCCAACACAGAGACTAAGAGGAAGACCTTGAAGTCTGACCCTGAGACTGAGACAGGGGCCAAGATTTTGCAGTCTTAGACTGAGACTGAAGCCTAGATTAACACAATGAATTCAAGACACTTAGACTGAGACAAGATCTTGAGGTAAGAGACAAATGTGAGGGTCGGTCAGAACACAGAGCTCTATGGTCAGAATGACAACCATCATCGGATGCCTAATACACAACACTACAAATGTGTTTTGTTGTATGGAGCAGTATTGATACATTTGCTGCAAACTGGTGGTTTCATTCTCGGTTTTGGGCTATTCTCTAGGAAATGAGCCTAATGTCATACATATGGCAGACAACTTTGTACATGTCTGAATGTTGTTTAATGTGTACAGTGATAAAGTGTTTCAAAAGTTGTCAGAACTTTCTGCTGAATGAGCCAGTTTGTATTTAAAAATACAAGTTATAGAACATGTTATGCAAGTTACGTAGATTCATGCATGGGTGGTATTGAGCACATGAACCCTATAAATTTTACCCAATAGCCTGTCTCTTCTGTGCTGATGAGAGCATGTTTATGGTCAAAGCGGATATTTTAGGAAAATACTGCATTTTGAGGTTCGTGTACTGCTTGTGGTCATTCATTTCTACCTTAAACAGTGCACAGACTTTCATTAGTTTTGGTCTTGGGAGAGTGTTGGGCCCATGGAGAGATCAGCTGTGTGTACATTCTCTTAAGGAAGGTGCTCCTGTGGGACTACTTGATCATTCAAGCTGTATTTCTAGCTAGTCAGAATACACATTGCAGAAAAATGAATGGATGAGTGCATAAAGTGCATTTTCTTTCAATTCAAGTAAAATTAAATTATGAGTTGTCCCCTGTTTCAATTGCCTGGGGCCTGTGATGCCTTAATTGTAGATTGTGTATTTGTTCAGATTGATGGTGCGAGACAAATCGTGTGACCTTCTCTGACTGTGTCATCACAATGACATTTGGAGTCTTTCAGACAGTAGTAGTATGCATACATGTGTGTCCTGTATTATTTTACTCAGTACAGTGTATATGTACATGATGTATTGGAATTGGTAGCAGTATTCAGTGTAAACAATTTAGAGCTGCTTTCTCATTTTTTTAAATTGAGTATTATACAGTGTACACTTCATAATGTGACTATCACCAGGAAAGCTCATGGAAGTTTGGCGAACTTATGAGCTGTGTCAAGTTTTTGACAATAGTGTTGGTCATTTCAGATAAAGAAGATGCCTTTTCTTTGTAGCTGTTTTTGGCACCGGCCAAAATAATGCTTGTTTTTTTTCCAATTGTTTTTTTCCTTTTAACTGTTTTGGGCTCCTGCCGAAAAAGCTTTTGTTTTTCTTAAAAATG